TTTAGTTCCTTGCTAATATCTTCCTCCTCAGTAACTAAACGTTTGGCTCTCATAATCAGATTCTTGGCCACAGTTACTTTGGTGGTAAATGGGTGTGCTGAATAGTAGTCTAGGTATCTATCCGAATTTGTCGGCTTTCTGAAAATGTTTATTTTAAATTTGCCATCTAGTTTTCTTCTTACTAAACAGTCCAGGAACGCCAACTCATTCTCGTTGGATTCAACCTCTTTGGAAAACTTGATGGTTTCTGACATACTGTTTATTAACTGAAAAAGTTCATTTAACAAACTACGTTTGATTATGACGAAAGTATCATCCACATTTTTGGAGGACTCGGTCATCTCATAATTGCATTCGTTTCTAATGAGTGCATAAACAGACTGGTGACTATCGGAGATACTGATGATCCCATAGCAATGTCTTCTGTTTGACGGTGAAGAACTCCTCTAAATGTAAAAATGTGGAACGGAGAAACAATTCTAATGCCTCCATAATTTCGTCTGGATTTAAAGAACAACGACCATTGAGTTCATCGTCAGAACAAAGTAAATTATATATCATACTTAAAGAATTCTTAACGGGAACATCCGTGAATAATCATTAAACATCGAAACTTGCCATCACCGTTTCCATCAAGTTTTCCAAAGAGGTTGAATCCAACGAGAATGAGTTGGCGTTCCTGGACTGTTTAGTAAGAAGAAAACTAGATGGCAAATTTAAAATAAACATTTTCAGAAAGCCGACAAATTCGGATAGATACCTAGACTACTATTCAGCACACCCATTTACCACCAAAGTAACTGTGGCCAAGAATCTGATTATGAGAGCCAAACGTTTAGTTACTGAGGAGGAAGATATTAGCAAGGAACTAAAATTGGTTCAATCCACTCTTAAATCAAATAACTATCCTAAAGCCTTCATGAAAAGATATTTAAAATGTGAAGATAAGGATGAATCAAAACCTGCTGCTAAGAATTGGGTTAGTACAGCGGTGATTCCTTACCTCAAAGAAATGTAACATCCGATGGAATAAAGCGAATCCTTAACGATCATGGCAACATAAGAGTGTATTTTCGTGCAACTAACACCTTACGCTCATCACTGGTGAAGGTTAAGGATAAAATAGAACAAGAAAACCAGCAGAATTGCGTATACCAGATCAATTGTGGGGACTGTAACGCCGTATATGTAGGAGGAACTTCCAAACAGGTAAATATAAGAGTGAAAGAGCATAAATAATGTCTAAACGTAGTTCCAGAGACCTCTGCAGACTTAAAGAAGCTAGAAAACAACTTGGCGATTGCACTGCATTCGATAGAGACGGGACACAAAATCGACTTTGATAAGACTTAGGTTTTACAGAAAGATTTTGGTTCATATAAAGAAAGGCTGACTGCAGAAGCCCTACATATATGGGTGAATCCCAATAGCTGGAATAGGCGTGACGGTGTGATGTTAGCTGATGCATGGCAAATCCTGACTAATTTTTTTTGATTTACAGCTTGATTCCACACTGTATTTTCAGTACAAGTATGGAATTTTCAGCATGGATATCGGTAGCCCAAATTTTGCAGGCCGACCATAGATATCAGGTGTGCGTCGGTGCGGGCTCGAACCCCGGACCATGTGCATGGTCGGCGAGAGCCCTAGCCACTGTGCCACCGACGTAATAATAAATAGAAATTGGATATGTATCAACAACTAGTCACACTTGGTCAAATTCCCGATTGTCTACTCCTTCTTAAGGAGAGGCTAACAAATGTTTTATGACTGTTCACCCACAGACACATACACCATTGTATACTGCGTATACACATAAATTTTAATAAAAGTATACTAAGTCTGAGTTCAAATTTTGATCACAGTTTATACAATTTTCGTTTTTATACAAGTTGATACCTGTTTCATGATTCATATAACTGAACAAAGAATTTTAAAAAAAGAGATATCCTTTTATATTTAAACATACAATTTTGTTTATCATACATGTTGATGCCTGTTTCATGACTCATGATGTTCCTTTTATATATAAACCCCTGTTATGTTAGTTTCGATTAATTTCCTTGATGTAGTTCGGACCAGATTACCGAACGTAACGTTGGAATTAATCATTTCAATTTCGCTGAGATTTTACAAATAATAATCTTTACAAGACAATTTAGTTTACCTAATACCCTGCAATGATTGTCAGGTCAAACACATAGGTTAAAGTAATAGAACAGGTGATGAGGCCATCTTTGCTAATTTCTCCTTGACTTGCTGTGTGAGTACTGGTTCAGTTGAGGAGTTGAGTACCAGTTTAGCTATAGGAAATGTTCTATCTGCTGCTCTATTAAGTCGACATTTTAGAATGTCAGCTACAATTTCCCTTTGTAACTTAACTTAAGATACAAAGGTTTCTTGTCTACGGTATACACCTCTACCCCTGTCTCTAGGTATTGACGTATACTTTTTTAGGAAGTTCTGTGGATATCCATTTTCTTGCAGTGTGAGTTTAGGTTCATACATTTCTTCCTTAATGCATTCCTCTGAACACATGCGTTTTATTTGATAGCTTAGACACTTAACTAAGTTTCTTTTGTATTGAATCGGTGTGAAGCTATGAAAATGGGTGTACTGACCCGTCCAAGTTTTCTTTCTAGATAATTTCCTTTGTAGATATCCGTCTGTCTTGATGGTAAGGAGGACGTCTAGGAAAAGTAAACTGTTATTGTCTTTACATGTAAACTGAATAGCTGGGTGAACACTATTAACAGCATTCAGAAGCTCTTGTTTATTAGGACGTCTATCACAAACGATAAAGGTATCATCTACGTATCGACAATAATAGTCAAACCCTTTAATCGTGTCTTTGAGTGGACCATTTTCAAGCTTTGCGAGGAAAATATCCGCTAGCATAGGGCCCAGAGGTTATCCCATGGCTACACCATCAACTTGTCTATAAAAACCATTATTTAACATAAACTGAACATTCATAGTGCATTCCAATAATAATTCTTTGCCTTTTTCGGATGGGATTCCTACATCCATCTTTCTTTCTATCAGCTGGTCACACATGCAGTTGACTGTTTCAAGCAGTGGGACGTTAGTGAATAATGATGCGGCATCCAGCGACACCATTTTCTTTCCCTTTACATTCAGGCTTTTGGTAGTTTCCACAAAGCTAAATACGTCTTTTACACTGAATTTCACTAATTCGCAATGTAACGGTTCTAGTGCCTTTACCAACCACTTTGCTATAGAATGATAAGGAGATTGACGCATATCTAAGATGGGACGTAGTGGTACTCCCGGCTTGTGAACTTTCGGTAAACCATAAAGTCTAAATAGGACGAAATGCGCATCCTGGACTCCACTGCTAGTCACCATCCACCAATTATATTTACCACATTATTATTATTATGCATACATACATAGGTCAAACTAGTAGAACAGGGGCAGTCAGACTAGCCAAACATAGAAACCTAGCAAAATCTAGATTGGTTGACCCGAATAAGATAAGCAATCTAGAGAATAGTTCAGCTGGCTATAGCTCTACATGCAGTTACATACAACGATACAGTAGGATGGGATAGGACGACAGTTTTAAAATCTAATGTCTCAGGGTGGAGGGAGAGATTGATAACGAAAGCTTTGTTTATCGAGTCAAATGAGACAGAATACATGTAATAGGAATGATTCAACACCTGTGCACTCAGATATCTGGAATATTCTACTTCCCTCCAACGACAAATAGGAGAGGACAAAGAAAACTATAAAACTCAAGTTTCAAAGTCGTGTGATTATAATTGACATGATTATGAACAATAAATATTTTTCGAAAGTTCATGAAGTGAATGATGCTGCTTCACTCTCTGATAATTCTAATGAAAAAACTAATATGGTGTTGCTTAGTACCACAGTGCTCATGTTTTACAGGTATATGACATTTTTGGTGGATTGATTGGAGTGAATCGCTCGGTCCAAATACATGACAGACGTCGTGGAAGCATATACACAAGAAACCGACATGTTAACCTGAGACTGAGCACTTCGATCAAATCAATCGACGGAAAAATCTTAAGTTCTACTAAATACATGTGGTAAATATTTTCTATGTCAGTAATAACGATGATTATAGTGATAACAAAACAATCATAATAAGGTTAATGCATGTGATGAGAAGAATAATGAAGGTATTAATATGTGTATATGTAGACACTTCAATAAATAAATTAGGTCAAATCTTAAGTTATGTAATACTAAAGGTGCTGCGGACAGATAATTAGAGAATGAGGGAAATAAAAATAAGAAAGGGTAGGAAGGTTTTAATTAGACTTTACCTAGGCGAGCAAGGGAGAGACAAAGGTAGACCAAACTTCTTTTTGTATGCAAAGACTAGGATTGTTATCTCGAACTCACATAGTCTCGGTTATGTGTAAAACAGCCACATTATTGTTATTATTTGATCCACAAACTCACTGTCATTGTTTGAAATTTTTATAGATAAATCTATGTAAATTACAGTAAAGCCTGAAGAAGACTCAATTGAAGCAATTTATTTGACTATAATTGGCTATAATAAGATGTAGTGGAATTCACTGATACACATTAATTAGTTTCTGTAACACTGCTATGTATGATAGTAGACCTCCAAATTTACCGGAGGTTTCAAAGTGGTTATTCTGAAAGTAGGCCATTCCCTACTATCTTTTGAGTAGAAAGATCGCACGGCGTCATTTATAATCAGAAAAAACCTACTAACGACATTACATAAGCATGTGGGTTAATGAGTATATTTGCTAGACCTGTGCCAGAATTTCATTATGCGAATTTCTATCTAGAATTTTACAGTTCTTTACAAGCATACTAAGAGTGATAAGTTATGACAAAATATAATCAGTAATCACTGACAGAGACATTTGAATGTTCTTATTGACTAAATATATCTCAAAGTATTGTGTAACTGATGAATCATAAACGTTACTTGAATAAATATCAAAGAGATACTGTTTACTCACTCTGTCTCCTAGATCATCCGCAATTTTGATATGTACAGGGGATTCATGAACTAAAGAAAACCACAATTGACTTCGACGACGTGGTCCTTTCGGATATTGCTCATCCGTAAGAATAATGACATCGGCCTCACGCCACTTAGTTTTATCAGTAGTTACTTTACACTTAGAAGCATGACAAACTGAAAAATCCATACCAGTAGAAGGGAAATGAATTCCATAGACAAGGATATTTTTGGCCTGTATTTAAAAAAGAAAAACAAATTGTACACTTTTTGTAAAAATCTCAACCTAAAAATGAAACTCCCTGACACATCAAAGTATAAAAGATTTTGTTGTGGACTGAAAATTTGAATACCATGTAATTTAGGCGAGAGAAAAAAATCCCTTTGAAAGACAAAAGGATGAAGATAAGTATTTACTTCTCATTTAGATCCCTGTTGGTTGTTCTACTAAGATAATAATGATAATAATAATAATAGCTTTATTCCAAAGAGTGCTTTCGGTCAAATATGGAATTTGCAGCATGCAAGACAATATTGTATCTAATTTTCTCATTACAGGGGCATTAACTAAAATAGGGCACTTACATTAATAATACTGTTCAATAAGAAGTGAATATAAAATTAAATCAAGTGGAAACATTAACGACAACTCAACAACGAGAACAAAAAGAATTGTTCGAATGAGGATTTTTCATGAAACAAAGTTGGTAATTCCCTGTCTTACATATTTGACACCTCTATCTAAGCTAGAGGCAATATTATGATACAAGACGACATCTAAAGTACACCTACTAAGTTTATAAGCAAATTGACTAAAGTCGTTGAAAACCTTCAATAAAGGTGCAAGGTTAGGGAAAAGCAGTCTTCCTATTATTTTTAAAAAAAGTGAAGTATGGGCAATAGATCTGAACTTAACAGTTGGTCCACTTGATGATTTAGGCACAAGAACAATTTTAATATCCTTCCAAGAAGCAGGCAAAATGTGATTCATTGAAAATATCAGTGAGGAGATGACGTAAAATGTCAGCACATTGAGGATAATAGCTGGCACACCATCTGGATCAAAGGACTGGGTGGGTTTCAGGGATTTGAGACACTTGAAGACATCGTTAGAGTTAAAACCAGAGCAGCGGCCATTATTTGCACTTGTAGCGTTTGAGATCACAACATCAGCTGGATGACATGATTGACTTAGTACCACCATCGAGTGTAGAAGGATCATTATTTGTTTGCTTACGCCCGGTGATTTCCTTAAATAGCTTCGACATATTTGATAAGGTTTCGCATGATAGAGACTTCTGGTTATAGATTCTATTTAATCTTTGTATTTCTCATTTAATTAAGATGTTCAATCTCTTAACGCCCGGATTGTCTTTCATTTTGTATGATCTTTCTTCTTCTCGGCGAAGGTTTTTGGGCTGAGAAGAGGAGAACCGACCAGATCTTAAGAAGTGTTTTTTTGGACAATAAACATCAAGAATTTGAAGCAAGGTATTACGTTTAGGATTCTGTCATCTAGAACTTGTTCAACGAATAAGTTCCATTTTGTATTATTTAACATATTCCTTAGATTCTGTATATTGTCATAGGAGTAACATCTACGTTGTGTTTTCTTGCCAAGGTTCAAGGGGGCCCTTTTTTGGGCAATATACTTATGATACAATGATCAGAATTTAAGTAGTGGCGCTCTTGTCTGAGCTTCAAATATGCCGAAGTCATTTGTAAAAACTAGACCGAAGGTATTTTCTGGTCGCGTTGAGTTGACAATATTTTTATGATCTAATGATGTAAGAAAACTGTAGTCACAAGAATTGAAGTCGCCAGTAACTATTAACATGGAGTTTCCAAGGGAGGTAGCAGCAAAGGAACTAAAATCGTCAGTAACTAAAAACTCTCCAGCTGTCCACTAATCAATAACAGATTGAATGGAAGATTGATATAAGAGTGCCTTCCCCAAGGTTTCCAACCATCGGCCTTAAGTAACCTTAAAACACGTTTATGAATGCCCATAATTAAATGCATTTATTGAACAGAAGAGGGTCTTTGTCTCTAAAAGAAATGTGTGGCAAGCAGGCCTTTGAAAATTTCCATTCTTGACATCTTGAAAATCCTAACTAGATAAATTACACCTATCTGGAGGCTAAAAGGGTGAGTATGTATGATCTTTGAATTCCACACGACTAAAGTGCGTCAGTTGTACAGCCGACCATGCACATGGTCCGGGACTCGATCCGCTGCCGACGTACACTTGATATCAATGGTCGGCTTGCAAAATTAGGGCTACCGATATTATATACTGCGAATCCCAAACTTGTACCAAAAATACGTGCGGCATCAAGTTATAACCAAAAAGATTTTAAAAAGTTAGATCCTTCAACATTTTTGCCAGTTGACTCCTGACTGATAGCCTATTCAGTTTGTCTGTAGTTACACATAGTAAAAGCAGTCTTCAAAACAGAACTTAGAAATATGGTTAAGAGTTCCCACTTCTCTAGTCCAACTATTATTATTATATTATTGTCCCTTGGGTTCCGAGTGGAACATAGGAGTTCAACTACAAATCTCTGCCATCCTCTGTGGCTGGATCCACGATTGTTAGTCAAACTAGTATTGTTCAAAACCCCCCACAGAAAGTTTTCCATAATGCTGTTATTCTGCAAGAATAAACTCACAAAGAATTGCATTAGGCAAAGCTACTCTTGCCTGATCAACCTACTATCGGAACGAGGAAGCTTCACAAATACAGTCGATGACAATAGACCGGTGGGTGTTATATTCGTGAACATAGGCAAGGCTTCCCATAAGGTTTCCCAGTGAAGTCAGGCAGTGTTGGAAATGATAAAGTGGTAAAAGGCTGGATGTAGGACTTCCTTAGATACAGAGTGAGTGTTGACAGAATCTTAATATCACGGTGAAGTTGGGATCCCAGGCCCTCCTCTCTTCTCACTTTATGTAATTAAGATGATATTAACAAATTACCGAAAATACCCATTGAGTCATGAAGAAAATAAAAGACAGATTCAGCGAAGAAAATTTTCTTTATCGACGAAATCATCTTCAGAGGCTGTACAGTTGTATTTATAGTTAATATATAGTGGTCTGTTATTGAGTAATAGGGGGTGACATAATTGATATAATAATCATAAATGGCTTTAGAAGTGAAAATTGAAAGTTGTAAATTACATGGTACTCAACGGCATAAAGATTTACAACTTTCAATTTTCACTTCTAAAGCCATTTATGATTATTATATCAATTATGTCACCCCCTACTACTCAATAACAGACCACTATATATTTTTGTAAGTATAAATACAACTGTACAGCCTCTGAAGATGATCTCGTCGATAAAGAAAATTTTTTTCTCTCTGAATCTGTCTTTCATAATATTAACAGTTGAATTAAATACCAGTGCAGGGTTCAGACAATGATAATGATCGACTTGATTCGTAAAAAGATCTAGATCAATTGTGCGAGTGGTGTAAACGTTGGACCTTGAAAACAATTCCAAGAAAGTTGATCGAAACGACATCCAGAACTACTCAACTAATGACCATACTCTATCGACCAAGTAGAGGGATTTGCGAACAGTTTTGCAACAAGACTTTAAAAATTGAGCTAGATTTAGAGCAGTCGATGAGAACGGTATTAGAATACTATGGGTTCCCTATTCTACCTTCGTAAGTTTTGATGCTGATACATTTCATAAACTGTATTCAGCCTACATTAGATCTCATTCAGAATACACGATCGAGTGGTGAGCCTATTTTTCAAATATAAATCAGACATTGGAATGGTAAAATGATCGGGTACTAAAGTGAACAAGGGATTCCCAAACTTCTCATATAAGGGAAGATTACACCGACTGGGCTTGTTCAAAGTCACAGTACCGTTGAAGGGCAAACTCATTTTGTATGAAAATTGGATCGCTGGAAGAGAATAGTTGCGAAGATATCAGTTTAGAGTTCAGAGACTACAGTCAAACTGTCTGCATCTGGAAATTCATTTTTCACATCAAACTGGTGAACTTATCCACCGAAGCACTCATTATCAGCACTTTCTCTAGACTTATTCAAGACCGAATTGAAAGTCCACTGTACAGTAGATTGAGAGACATAACGATTAATTTCCCTGGTTATCTATAAGCTGTAAGAACTACCACGCATTGCCCAGTGTTTTGTCACACGTCAAGTCAGTCAACAGATTCAGATAACATAGCTTTTATTCACAAATTGTGTGTTATATAGGATAGTTGTTGCGGTGACCGAGATGCCTGCATCGATAACAACTGGTCAATCACGAACATGACAACATATCAAGAGTGCTTTCGGGTAACGCAATCCAAGCAATGCGAAATCTAACATAGGATGATGAGTTTTGGTCAACTGTTTACTACTGCATATTAAGTAAAGAAATTATCATTTCAGGGGAACCCCTGAAAGTAAAAGACGGCTGTTCACTTTAGTGCATGTGTTAAAATTTCAAAACAAACAGAATTAATGCAGTGTGCAGGCTGTAGGCGTGATTCATTAATCGATTAGACCCAAACTTATAATAATCCAGAAATAATGGTTAGGAATGCAGCACTCAGGGTGTACAGAAATGGCGAGCGTACTGCCAAAAGCAATATAGAGTACGGGAATTCGTTCCACTTAAGGATTATTAGCAAAGTGAATCATCGTCGAAGAAAAGCGTTATTCCTGCACTTTTGAGAATTATTTATTCTCCAAATAAAATATTTCACGTAATCTTACGATTTTTTGTGGGCTTTTAGCGGAAATTTTGAGAGTTTAAAGGGTCTGAGGATTTTTCAGGGGAAATGATGTATTCCCCATAATCTGTGCGTCTGGCTGCCCCCTCCCCCCAAACCCCCGAAATCGCTCCAAATCTTTCTTCTGTGGGTCATTATTGTGAACTTGAGAGGAAATAATTTTAAAAAATGCACATTAAAAAATAACCAGCTGAACATACTTTCACCGTGGTGTTGAAATTGTTGTTGGTATCGTAAAATTTTTCCAGTGCACCCCTTTGATAAAGTATCTTCTCTTTAATGTCATCAAGATTAGCAGGAATAGCTCTGAAAAAACGAAATGCTGTGAAGCTGTACATGCACATACAAATCCAAATTTTTCGAGGATAACCACAAATGATCTCCTTCTAACCCATCTTGCGCATAAAGGCTAATAACTGAAGTGTCGAAAACAGTCACGATATTCCACAGTAACAGCAATGCAAGTGCACTGATTATCAAAACAGCTATTCGAAGGCGATATGGTATGACTCTCATTTTCTCAATCTAGTTTAATGTATAAAAGCCTATTTTAATGCACTGCAAATTGCGTATGTATATCTCTAGAGTAACAAGAGTATGTAAAAAAAATAAAGCTGGCGGTTGGAAATTAAACCATGACAACATAGCAACGTTCAGTGTCCAATGTTAGCTACGCAAGCACATATCAGAGAAACTCTTTCGTTACAAATGTCTACGGTGTCTCACATTTCATATTTTGTGATGAAATTTTGAACGATAAGTCGTACTACGTGTCTACGTGTACCTTGATGAAATCAGAGAGAATAGCGAAATACTGATTTCTAGGAATCCACTGACGTTTTTACGATCTAGTATAAACCAATTTGATTTCTTTGTGCTCCCCTCTTGATTGTGAGGTAAAGGCTCCTGATCTTCGGTAAACTTCTGCGTAGCTCGTCCCGCCACTCGACCTTCGACTGAATGTCGAAAATGACGTATAGCACAGTACATAGCCAGATATATATAATAATATAACAATATATATTTATTCCTACCGATTTAGGACACACCAGTTGTACAGTCATGGATAAGTAGATAGATATAATTAGTGAAGTTATTCAGACCAACAGACAAGAAAAGAAATAAGAAAACGTGACAACAGTCAGCTGATTAAATTTGAAGAACAACATGAATAATGTATATATATATATATATATATATAGGTAATGTTGATAATAATAATAGGTGTAGTTAAAGTTGTCAGAAGAGTAAGACGGGAGAGAGTGTAAAGAAGTAAAACGAAAATTTTAATTGTCTACCCCTGAATGGTGTTTGCGATTTTAAGGGGATAGGCCATTTGGATGCAGTCCTTGTGTCGCTGCATGGTTGCCCATCCTTCTCTTAAAGGCGTCTACAGACGGCACCATTGCTACATCTGCCGCCGAGGAATTCCAGGGACGGCAAGCCCACAGTGAAAAGAAGTGGGGGCGCACTCAAGTCCTTTACAGTTCCAGAGTCCAGTTCTGACTCCACAAGTTTTCAAGGTATTGCTAGTCAGAGTAAAGGTGTAAAACATTTAAGAAGTTGTGAGGAGGAACCCAAATAATGTACTGCTTTTAAAGGTTGACAGAATTCTCTTACACAGCCTCTAATTTATTAGTTCTCGCGTACCAAAGACAAAGCAAAAGCCAATTTTTGATCGTCCAAACTACGTTATATATATCGGGACCAAAACAAGCCTTCAAACGAACGCTTAGCTAGCTAGTGATCGTGCACGTGACACGACGGGGTACCAAATGGCGGGGATGCTTGACCGGAAGCCTTCAGCTAAACAAGTCGACTTAAACAGTGGTGGTCAGCATCCAATGAGTGATTGCTGTGGTCAATAATTTTGGGGAATTATTTACCGCTACAGCTCACTCCCCCCTAGTGGGGTCGTGAGGACCCTAAGACAGAACCAGCCGGAAGTAAAAAAACTCGATGGTTCCCTTTCGGGTGAAAAAAATCTTCCGAGCGGCTTGGTCGTATGCCTACTGGTTTGTCTGCCTATGCTAATAGGGTGTTTGTACATAGCTTCCTTGTTGTTGTTCGTTGGATTCCGTGCTTCGTTTGTTTCCTGTCCAGTGCCCGTCGCACCTGGAAAAGAAAACAAGAACGCTAAGAACCATGTCGAGGAAAATGTACCAAATCAGCTTTTTTGTTTTAAAAAAATGATGTGCATTTACTATACAGTAAAATAATGCTAAGTTCAGAACATCGAAAAAAATACATCTAATTAATTTTTTTTGTGTATGTTACATGAACTGTTAAAAAAAATTTTTGTGTTCGGTGGTACTGTATATAAAAAAAATTGATACGTCAAAAAAATAGTTAGTACCACAAACGAATGAGTTGCGTGAATCACACGACTTCGTTAAGTCAAATAAGTGTGCAGATATTCTGGGAACCTTACGGTGCGTCCAGAACGGGTTTTCTTGGGAGGCTCGATAGAAGGTTCGGTAGCTGTCGCTGTGCTAGTGACTTCATCGATGTCTAAACGATCTTCTGTTACTTGTGGATTTTGGGGTACGTTGAGCTCTATGCTAATAGGATTACCCTCCAAGTAAGCCGGTTTCAGACGGTCAATGCTGACGGTGTCCTCGCGGCCGTTTTTGTCCAAGACAAAGAATTTATCAGAACGTTTAATTACTTATAAGGTCCGTCGTATGGGGTTCCAGGGGTCTGCGCACAGAGTCGCGACGAACAAATACATGTGAAGAAGTTTTCAAACACGGATGAACGAAAACATCAATGGACTGTGGACGAAGGGGAGCAGGTTTAACTGAACGCATTGCGTTTGTAAGCCTGCTGACGTATGAAGCGTGATCTACCACTGGTGGGAAGCTCGAGGGAGAAACAAATTCACCAGGCAGTCGCAGTGTCGTGCCATATACTAGCTCGGCGCTAGTACAACCAGCATCGGTTTTCAAGGCGTTTCGTATCCCTAGGAGAACTAACGGAAGGGATTCAGTCCAATGGGTGTGTTTGCAGCTGACAGACCAGCTTTCAGCTGTCTGTGTAGACGTTCTACCATACCATTAGCTTGAGGATGGTAGGCTGTTGTTCGAAAACGCATGCAACCTATGATTTTAGTCAGGGCGAAGAATAAGCCACTTTCGAATTGCCGCCCGCGATCAGTTGTTATGGAAGATGGGCATCCAAAGTTAGCGATCCATCTTTCTACGAAGACGCGTGCGACTGTTTCAGCAGATACATCCTTGATGGGTACTGCTTCCGGCCATCGTGTGAAGCGATCGATGCAAGTTAAAATATAAGTATATCCATGTGATTCAGGAAGGGGTCCAACCAAATCTATATGGACGTGTTCGAAACGAGCGTCAGGGAGAAGAAAGGTGCCAAGTGGGCTTTTGGTGTGTCTTATCACCTTGCACTTTTGACAAGCTAAGCACGTGTGTGCCCATTCCCTTACTTCTTTATTAATGCCAGGCCAACAAAACCGACTAGTTACGAGCTTGACAGTAGTTCGAATACCTGGGTGAGATAAGCCATGCAACGTATTGAAGACGTTACGGCGATAACTTTTAGGCACGATGGGGCGAGGAGTACTCGTGGAAATGTCGCATAGAATAGTATCTCTTCCCATACCTAAGGGTTTCTCAGCTAATTGTAGAGTTGTTTTCGACAACTCATGTTGAAGTTCGGTATCTTCTTTTTGAAGACGAGCCAGTTTTACAAGGTCTATGCCGTCGATTTGGGTGAGGGAACAAACGCGCGACAAGGCATCTGCCACAGTGTTGTTTACTCCGGATACATGGCGAATATCTGATGTAAACTGTGAGACGTAATCCAGTTGTCGTGATTCCCTGGGTGAATACTTATCTGAAGGTGAGTTCAGAGAGTACGTCAGAGGTTTGTGATCCGTAAAAATTATGAATTCACGACCCTCTACCGAATGTCTAAAATGTCGTATAGCACAGTACATAGCCAGAAGTTCTCTGCCGAATGTGCTGTACTTCGTTTCAGCTAATTGAAGGCGCCTCGAGAAAAAGGCGAGTGGTTGCCACTCATTGTCAACTAGCTGTTGTAGAACTGCGCCGATTGCAGTGTTTGATGCATCAACCGAGATACTTAACGGTGCCGTTGGATCCTGATACATCAGAAGTGTGGCATTCGCAATAGCTTTTTTAATCTGGGTAAAAGCATTTCGAGCAGACGCGTCAAGTTCTATGGACTTGTTATTCCCTCGAAGGAGGTCTGTCAATGGCTGAATCAAAGAGGCACAGTTGGGAATAAAGCGTCGATAATAACTTACTAAGCCGTTAAAAGTGCGGAGACTTTTCACCGTCTGTGGCTCTGGAAAGTTCAGTATAGCCTCGACCTTAGTAGCCAGTGGGCGAATGCCCTTGCAGTCAATAGTGTGACCCAGAAGTCGAGTGAGTCAACACCGATTTGACACTTTTGAATATTAATGGTAACACCATGTTGGCGTAACCTTCAAATGCCAAGTCCAAGTGCCTAAGGTGAGTTTCCTTGTCTGGACTGGCAATGAGGCAGTCGTCTAAGTATGCGTATACAAAGTCGAGACCGCGAAATACTTCGTCAATGAAGCGTTGGAATGTTTGGGCTGCATTCCGGAAACCGAATGGCATACGTAGAAATTCAAAAAGTCCGAAAGGCGTAATGATAGCCGTTTTCGGGATGTCTTCTGTTGCCATCGGGATTTGGTTATACGCTTTAACCAAGTCGATTTTGGAGAATATAGTCGCGCCGGATAAGGTTGCCGTCAAGTCGTGTATATGAGGCAACGGGTAGCAATCAGGGGTTGTTTTGGCATTCACTCGCCGGTAATCACCGGTGGGTCGCCAATCATTGCTATCCTTTTTCGGAACCATATGAAGTGGGGATGCCCATGGGCTATTCGAAGGTCGAATGATGCCAAGGGTAAGCATATGGTCAAATTCATTCCTGGCGATTCTCAGTTTGTCAGGAGCTAATCGTCGTGCTTTAGATGTCACAGGTTGTCCTGTGGTAATGATGTGGTGCATAACATTGCTGGTTATGCACGGTAGGTCGTTCGACGGGCAATTAAGTTCCGGATACTTGTCAACATAGGTTGAAAAGTTGGATCAAGATTGCCTTTATCTTAACGGGTGACAACTAGGGCCTATGTAGCTGATGCCTTTGATAGACAGACTAGTAGTATTGTCAATCAGTCGTTTTCGGCGGACGTCTACGAGTAAATCATGATGATTAAGTAGGTCCGTGCCAATGATGGGCATTGTAACGTCAGCGAGAAGGAAAATCCACCGAATAGGTTTGCGTAAACCTACGTTCAGATAGACGTATTTCCTACCAAAGGTTGCGATTGGTTTTCCATTTGCAGCCTGTAAGTTGAAGGTAGGTTCCTTCTGTCGATCTGCTGCTGTAGCAGGAAGGACGCTGACTTCGGCGCCTGTGTCGACTAAGTATCGAGTCTGGCTTATCACATCATGGATGTAAAGTAGGCGGCTAGTGCCACCGGCGACGGTTGCCGCTAACGCGTGCCGGCGGGATAGTTTCCCACAGACTTTGAGACATTTCCGAAGTTACAAGGCTTACGGCAACACTTCGCTTCTTGGCCATAGGTGTTGTGGTACCAGCACCAGTCAGGGTTTTTCAGTGAACGT